CAACTTGGGCCAGTGAAGCAACGTCCTCCACAACTAGACTGAAGAACCAAAGGACAGCAACTTGTCTGTTCCCCTTCCCCCAATTCCCCAATAAACAAAAAATAAAAAAATCTAAAAAACAACAACAACAAAAAAAAACTTTACAGCTGGGCCTCTGAGCTCAGATGAGGAAGTGACAGAACTCTCCTCTATGGTTGTGGGAGTTGAAGGGCTGATGCTGAACCGTAGTTCTAGGCACCCGAGATGAGTGCTCCAAAAGGCAAAACTGACTTGTGAGAGGCAGCGCCTGGAGCCAAAGGAGAGCCAAGAGAAGGTATTCATTTTTTCATTGATTGATTGATTGATTCATTCATTCATTCATTGGTTCATTCATTCATTCATTCATCAAATACTGACCACCAGAGGTAAAGCAGTGAACCACAAGAAGACCAGAGAATGCTTTAATACATTAAACAAACCTCTCCAGTCTTAATTATTGTTGTCTAGAGTTTTCTTTTAACCCATTTTTTAAACATAAAACAATTTTTCTTACACTCACTAGTTAATTGATTTTTCTGACTTAGTTAATTGACTTTTATGTTTGTCTCTATTTTTTATCTACCACACTTAGATTCTGGATTTACTTTTCTTGCTGAAAGCCTACTCCTTTAATGATTCTTTTCATCAGTTTCTGTGGCTAGCAATTTGTTTAGTCTTTGTATGTCTCAAAATATCTTTATTTTGTCTTCATTCTTGAACAATAGTTTAGGTGAGTATAAAATATGAGGCTGATACTAAAAATAAAAAATTTTTTTCCTTAACATTTTGAAGCTATAATTGTATTATTTTCTGGGATTTATCATTGCTGTTTTAAAGTGTGCTATCGGTCTAAATGTTGGTGTTTTATAGACTGTCTTTACTCCCTGGTAACTTTAATACAATTTATTGCTTAATTCATAGAAAAAGAAAGTCAGGGGCTGACTGGGAGGGAGGACTGGGGAGCTATTGTTGAACGATACAGAATTTCTGTTTGGAATGATGAAAAAATTCTGGAAGTATGTAGTAAAGGTAATTGTATGACACTGTGAGTATACTTAATAACACTCAATTGTTACTTGATTGGCATTTGGTTGTGGAGGAGGAAGTACAGATGACAGAAGGAGTTTTCCATAGCTCACAGATGAACACACCTATAGGAGCAGCTAGAGGAATCAGTACAGTATAACAAGGGCAGGAGATGTCCTGAGGCTTTTGTTACTTTCCTTGAGGCAGAAATCATGGGACTATGTTGAAATCCAATTACAATTTTTTTAGGCTTTGTCGTGGGGGTGTGTGTGGGGGGGTGGTTGCAGGGGATGTTTCGAAGGTGAGATGCCCAGCGTAAAAAAGGCATGAGGAGCCGACATGTGGAGGAACCAGCATCTTTAATTAGTAATAGCAACCTTATGTAGTGATCTGGGGGAGGAGAGCGCATGGGAGTGCGCATGCTCCCTCCTGCAAGTGTAAGTCATGCTCACATAAGGGCTTATGTAACCGGAGCCGAAGCACCTGCGCAGCAGGCTCCAGGGTCGTGTCCCGTACCCCAGCCTGCACATATTTGGACATACCCGGGTCTCGTGTTCCGGGCTTCCACTCGTGCATGCCTGAACGTGCCTGGGCCCTGTCAGGCTTATAATGGAATAAGTTTCACTCCCTAATCTATTCATTATCACTTATGCTTTGCCTCAGTTCTTATTTTCTAAGGGACCTGGGCTAAGACTGTTCCCATGAGAAGGAAAATTTGTTACATGTTGGTGCCAAGGGTGTCAGGCTCTAGAGATCTCTTATGACAAAGACATCAGAACAGGTCAAATATGAGGGCAGAAATGGGAATTAAAGAAAAGAAGAATACTCAAACTTTATTTACTTGTAAATTTGCTTACATTTTATCAGGCATTGGCTTTGTTAGCAATAGTTTCCAAATATGTCATAGAAATATGAATAGATGTTGATGGCAAGTAGACAAAATATGTGTCCATGTTTCCTCTAAGACATTATTGAGTCAGAACTGTATTCCTGGAATCCAGTGGACAGACTGGAACTTTTCTTAAGTACTTTATAGGAAGGATCTTAGAAATATTCTAGCCCCAAATCCCTTTAATTACTCATGATGAGACATTATCTATGAAGGCAGAGATTAAATAACTGGAATAATTGATAGCTCTAAAGAAACAGTTACTATTGAATTCCTTCTGCACTTAGCCTATAGCTAGGTCACCAATGATGCATTATAAGTCTGCCCTATCTTTTATAGTTCTCCAACTTTTGAAGATGGCCTCAGATGACCAGCAAAGATATGCTTTTGACACATACTTCTCGGTTAATTATATCACTTTATAGTCTGTTTCAACTGTAAAGATATAGCCTAAGGATTCTTTTTATATTGTGGATTTTCTTAATTTTGCTTAAGCAAATATCTTGGCTAAATTTCAATGTTGTGCATCCTATGGGAAGAAAATAGTTAGTAAATTACTGTGCTCAGGGTTTACAGGATGCATCCAATAAGCACTATTCACTTCAGCATCTACTGTGTTTTAGCTACTACATGGAGTGGAGATGGCATAGGTGAATATTTACAGACTTTTTACCCTCAAGAAGCTTACTGTCTCTTACGGGAGCGGGTAGACATTTATCAAAATGCCATGATACAAGTTAGAACATGAAAAGAACCAGAATAGAGAGTACATTTAAACTTCTATTTTATCCTTAAATGCTGGGGATGGATAGGTTTTATCTTTAAATACCTGAAATGGGTGGGTTTTGCCCTGTATAACAGATAGATGAGTAGAACCTGCATATTGGATGCAAATTCACCAACTAGTTTTCTCTGTGTTAGTGTGTTAAGGAATATAGATGCAAGAAGCGTTCCTGGAATTCCATGGCTCATTAATACACAGAAGCTTCTTCAGTGGGCAAATGAAGTCAGACTTGACCCAAATAATCCAGAATATTCTGATTTAATGGAAGCTATTATGGTAAGTTTTAGCAAGTATCAATACTGTAAATATATTCTATTTCCTGAGCTCTATCCCCTTATACTCCTCCATAGTTGGTTGTATATTTTTCTAGGCACTAGGAGGCATATGAAGGTGAATCTGAGGACAGTTTTCAGTATTGTTGAAGGCAATTAGAAATTCAGCAACTAAAGTAATTGCTACTTTAAGCCTGGTGGTTGAGACTCTGCCACCGCGTAGCAGCCCACAGCACATCCTGCAGGCTGACGTTCAGGCTAGCATCTATTGTATGTCTGAGCGCCAGCCATATTATTAGATGCTTGGGATAGAAAGATGACTTACTTACAGACACAGTCCTTCTCTCAAAGATCCCATTATCTAGTCACTTCTCCTACTCTTCCTTATAGCCAACTGAACTGCTCTGGTGCCCCAAACATGCTTCCTTCACACCTTTCTTCATGTCATTCCCTCTGCCTGGCAGCTGTCTTACCCACCCTACAAGTCTGATAAATGCTTCTCTCGTGACCTCAGATATGGGCTCTTCTTTTCTTGCCCTCCTGTTAACTTTTTTATCTTTATAAACTTTTAAGGCTCTAATATCATTGTGCTTTATGCTGTAGTCATTCATTCATGTGTTTTATTCTTGTGGAACTGCAGCTAATATATCTTTGTCTCGCTTATGTCAACTAGCACTCTTCCTTTCACTAGCGTTTATTGAATAAAGCAATGCATAAATAGACATAGCAATTAAGTTTTCCTAGATCGGAGCTTTCCAACTGATGTGCTGAAGTACTTATAGGTGTAATGATCCTCTCTCAACTCTTAAGGCAACTAAATGCAAACAGTCTCATATTTCAACACAGTGTGCAACACAAATATTTTGATTTTCTGTATAAGTCATAACCAGGAAAAGTTAAGGGGGGAGAAACAATACTTTGAAATAATTCTTGAATAAAAAAATTATTTTAAGTAAAAACTTTACATGATTTATGTTTTACAGTACATAAAACACAAAGAGCAAGATATGCCTAAGTATTTTCATCTTGAACAGTTGCAAGATGAATTTAACTTTATTTCTGAAGAGGAAATGAAAAAGAGTAAACGTTTCCAGCTATTGCAACTTAGAAATGCAGGTCAATTAGATGTTTTCCCACTGCAGCAAATACCCCTCTATGACAGAGAGATTCCAGATTTACTCTTCCAGGTACTTGGTTTCTATTTGAATGTGAGTTATTATATGACAGGCTAATATTTTCCTGCTTTCTTTCTTTCTTTTTTTTTTAAGATTTTATCGGGGAATTGGGGGAGGGGAACAGACAAGTTGCTGTCCTTTTGTTCTTCAGTCTAGTTGTGGAGGACGCCGCTTCACTGGCCCATGTTGGTATTATCGTTGCTGTCTTCCTGGGTGAGGCAGATCAGTCGCCAGCCTCTGGATGGCCGCTCATGGCGATTCTTGGCAGCTCACGCTGGCTGCTGGCCATTCACAGTAGCTCACGGCAGCCCACTGCAGCAGGGGCTGCAGCCTACGCCATCGCCGGCGACTCATGGTAGCCCAGCTCCAGGTTGTTGCAACCTATTTCACAGACAAAATCCTTTAGGTCTATTATAAATTTATGTAAATATTGTATTTTTGCTATTGTGAAATGCATCACCAATTTAAAAGCACCTTATGAAGAGAGAGAAACACTACCACGTTAAACTTACACATTGATTATAAAGCACACCTCAATTTCAGAAACTTTAAAATGTGAGGGGAAAAAAAGAGAGAGAGACATTAGCCTTATGCTACATGGGGGTGGTGTGCTGGAGCCTGCTGTCGCCAGCCATTGGGAGCCTGTTATGTGCCTCTCTTCCCAACTCCACCTTCAGTGACTTCCTGTTGATTGCTTTACATTTGTTGCTGGGGGAATATATACACCATAAATCAGCAAATGCTACAAATTGGGGCTTCCCCTCCCAATCCCAGAGAACTGGTTGTTAAACATTTACTAGTACACCATTAATCTTGAAATAGTGGATTGTAAGAGTTAATTCCTGTAGAAACAACCAATTGTGGTAATCATAGCGCTTGAGTCTGCTAGGAGACGGTGCAAGAAGAAAGGTGTAAGTGGTGTGTAAGCACCAATTTTTGTGCTGTCAGTGTATCCAGACTCATTGTGTTAGGAAGAATGGATTAAAGATCTATAAATGAAAAGGAGAACTTTAAACCTATAGAAAAGCAAAAAAATATGACATTGAAGTAGACATAAGCACAAAAAGGCAAGATTGATGAATCTGTGTATAGTAAAATTCAAACTTAATTTGCATGCTATGTAACTGGCAAAGGATTCCATATAATCAAGGAAATGAGCGAAAGATATGAATGGGCAATTCACAGATGAGGATCCCTGAGTAGTCATTTACATGGAAAGACGCTTAATTTCACTAGTACTCAAAGAATTACACATTAAAAAAACATTGAGATGCCATTTCAGTGCCACCAGATGGGCAAAAATCAAAACAAAACAAAAAAAACCCTGATACTTCCATGTGTTGCTGGCCTAGAGCAATGGGCTGTCTATCCTGGTGGAAGTAAAATTTAAGTTATACTTTGGAGAGTGGTTTACACATAAACAACTAGTTTACTTGAAGGTGCTATAAATTAACCCGGTCTCTGGGTATTACATTCTACAGGAATTCTTGGCATATGTACTCAGGGGGACATGTACACAAAGTTCATCGCAGTATTGTTTTTAATTGTAAGAACCAGGAACAATCAATGTCCATTAGAAAATGGATTTCCCCGCCCAAGCTGAGCTGCCACTTAACTGCCAACAGGTGGCAGGATGGCTCAGCTAAAAAAAATTAAAAAAAGAAAAAAAAGATAAATTATGGTATATTTGTAATATTTGGCTATTAAAATGAATTAATACAAAGTATGTGTATTAGCTTGACTACATCTCAAAAACAATGATGAATTAAGATGGCCAAGTGATATGTGCTTTGTGATAAGATTTGGTAGTTTTAGAACATGTTAAACAAAGACCGATGTATACGCATATACTAAAAGTGTAAAAGCATGTAAGAGAATGATAAACACCAAAATATGGTTTGTTTACCTCGGGAGAGGTAGGAGGAAAATGGGATTGAGGTGTACGCAGGGGAGGCTTCAATAGTATCCATAATGTGTTACTTCATTAAAAAATATCAAATGTGAGAAAGGTTTGGATTAATTAAAGCTGAGTGATGGTCATTCACACATTTTCAATATGCTTGATATTTAATGATAAAAACAAGTATTTCAAAAAGAAAAATAATGTTCAGCATTTTGGATTTTTCCAGGGAGGTAAACTGCATTGAAAAAAAGTGTTTGAGGTTAATTGTAGAATTGAAGGACCGAGGGGAGAGACAAGAAGGCACCACCTTCACATCCACTGGATGATTGGACTAACGTTCAGATTTAATTAGCCAGGGAAGCAGAAACACACAGACGCAGGGCGGGACATAGTGCAGGACAGCTGCAACAAATTCTGACGTTGGTTTTTCCTGGGCTCTGGTACCCTGATGGGGAGTAAGCTTCTTGTGACATACCCACACAGAGTAGGGGTTTGCCATAGCTGAACAAACAAAACAAAACAGAAACAAACAAACAAAAAAACCTGTATAACACAGGTAAGGTTTACATCACCACACCAGAAGAAATAATACCTGCATAGTAAATGTACTTCTACTTAAAGGAATGTTTACAAACATTGGACTCTTCTGGCTCTTGAACCCAAGTCAAGGTTACTAAGGCCATAGTCATCCTTCAAGAGAAGAAATAGAGCAAGTGGTCAGGTGTCCCTAGCAAATTCTCTGTCTCCAGCTTTCCCACATTTTGGAAAACCTATTTCTTATACTCTACCCTTTGAGTGTGATTCTTTTTTTTTTTTTTGAGATTTTTATTGGGGAATTGGGGGGATGGGAACAGTGCTGGGGGATTGGCCAAGGGGAACAGACAAGTTACTGTTGTTTTGTTCTTCAGTCTAGTTGTGGAGGACGTTGCTTCACTGGCCCAAGTTGGCACCATCATTGCGCTCTTCCCGGGCGAGGCAGATCAGTCGCCGGCTTCTGGACGGCCGCTCACTGCGGCTGCTGGCCGCTCACGCTGGCTACTGGCTACACACGGTAGCCCATGGCAATCCACTGCCACAGGGGCTGCAGCCTACGCCGTCGCCGGCGACTCACGGCAGCCCAGCTCCAGGTTGAGCTGTTGTTCAGCATCTTAGCTGTGGAGGGCAGTGTTCACTGGCCCTCGTATGTGGGATCCGAACCGGGGCGCTCTGGCATCCCAAGCGAGTTCTTAACCATCGCGCCACTCGGCCGGCCCTTGACTGTGATTCTATACCCTATTATCTGTATGGCTCTGAAACTGAGTTTGATATGAAGATCATGATCGGAAATATTTTTCTTCATGGACCCCTACACAAACATTATACTTAATCATCAGTTTCCCCATTAATCTCAACAACATAAGAATGCCCACTATCATTTCTACCAGTAAATGCCAATGCATTAAGCTAAAAAGGAGGAAAGGAAAAGAAGGAAATTAGAATTGGAACTGTCCTTGTTTGCAGAAAATACATTTGTCCACATGGAAAACAAGAGGCTCTACAACAAACTGCAACAACTAATAAATTCACTGAATATAGTATCCATCTTTAAAAATGAATAGCTACTTTTATTGCAAAGGGAAAATTGTACCTCCACAATGGAGAAATGTACAATAGATGTCACCATCTTGACTCAATGGTCCAACTTAATCTTATTAATTGTGGTCAGCAGAATAATGGCTCCCTGAAGATGTCTACTCTCTAATGTCCAGAACCTGTGAATACGTTATGTTACATTGCTTAATTGCTTAAAATAGATTATCTGGATGGCCCTAATATAATTATATGAGCCTTTAAAAGCAGACAAATTTTTCCAGCTGGGAGCAAAAGAAAGCTGCAGCAGCAAGAGAAGTCAGATTCCAATCATGAGAAGGGTTCAACACGCAGTTGCTGGTTCTAAGATTTAAAGGCCCACCTGCAAAGGCTGGAGAAAACCTCCTAGAAGCTAAGGGTGGGTCCCAGCTAGGAAATGAGACTTCAGTCCTATATTCTGCCAACAATCTAAATGAGCTTAGAAACAGATTCTTCCCAGAGCCTCCCAATAAGAACTCCTGGCCAACACCTTGATATCAGCCTTATGAAACCTAGAGCAGAGAAACCAGCTCTGACAACCTGGACTTCCCATCTGCAGAACTGTGAGATAATAAATTTGTGTTTTTAGAAGCCACTATATTTGTGAGACTTTGTTAGGACAGCAATAGAAAACTAATAGATTAATGAAGGACAGCCATACATTATTGCCTGCTAATATGATACAATATGAAATACACAGCATTATGTATGAAGTACTCTAGCCAAAAAAAATATGTAATCTGAATCAAATTAAGACTTTAATTGATTTACAAGAAATATGAGGAATAGAGAAACAAGTTAAAGGCCCCACAAGGAAACAATCAGACAAATTTGGAATGTGGGACAACTGGCTGTCAGGTACAACTATTTTGATCTCTTAAAAAGTCATCCTTTTTTAAAAAGCAAGGCAGAGTATTCTAGATTAAAAGAGACTGAAGAGATTTAACCAAAGGCAATACATGATCTTTAATTCGATCCTGGTTTGTGGGGAAAAACAGCAATTGGTGAAATTTGGGTATGGGTTGAATATTAGATAATATTCAGAAATTGTTAATTTTGTTTGTAATTATGGCATTGTGGCTGTGTAGAATTATGTTTTTAGTTTTGAGACATTCATGCTGAAGTATTTATTTAGGAATGAAGTGTCATGGTGTCTGTAAATTGCTTTGAGATATTTTAGACTAAATAAATAAATAAATAAGAGATTAAATAAATATGGCAAAATATTAATTACTTAATCTAGAGGGTGGATATATGGATTTTAGTATTCTTTCTAATTTTCTATATGTTTGAAAAATTTAAGGAAAAACTAAAGAAAAAAATAGCATTCTATATACCAGTAAAAACCCACTAAAAATGTAATTAACAAAGATACCCCTTGCAATAGCAATAAAACTCTAAAATACATAGGAATATATTTAACAAAATATGTGCAGGAACTTAGTTAAGAAAATTATAAAACAAGGCTAGCCGAGTGGTGCATTGATTAAGAGTTGGCTTGGGATGCCAGCTCTGAGCAGCAGGGCCCCATTCTGATCCCACGTTAGGGCCAGTGACGCTGCACTCTCTACAGCTAAGATGGTGAACAACAGCTCTACCTGGAGCTGCGCTGCTGTGAGTCGCTGGCATCGGCGTAGGCTGCAGTGGAGCTGCTGTATGTAAAAAGCTACCATGAGTGGCTGGCAGCCAGCATGAGCGGCTGGCAGCCAGAGTGAGCTGCCAAGAGCCGCTGTGAGCAGCCGTCCAAGTTTAGTCTTCATTGTGGGCGGGCATAGCCCACTATCGAACAGGCAGTCTTGTTGTTAGGAGCACCTGCTCTCACCAGCTGAGCCATCCTGCTACCTGTTGGCAGCTCAGCGGCAGCTCAGCTCAGGCGCAGCATCACTGGCCATTGTGGGACTCGAACTGACGGCCCTGTTGCTCAGAGCTCGCGCTCTGAAGCTAACTCTTAACAAACTGAGCCATTCGGCCAGCCCACATTTTCTCATAATTTCCTCAATTACATTTTTTTCTCAATCATTACTCTATTTTAAAAGATGAATGGACTTTACCCTAGAAGCAAACAAAATATAATCATAAACTGTTCTTAATCTAATTCTCAGTGGAAAAATCTGAAAGAAATGTTTTCTTCTGTCAATGCCAATGTCTCCTACACGTGCACTATTAGCTATTCATTTCAGTTCTGAAAAGGCTCATTTCAGTTCTGAAATGAATAGTTAATATTTTATTGCTTCATGTCATATCTGAACTCTTGTACATTAAAGAAGTAAAACTAATTTAATTCTCTGTTTAGGAATGTGAAAATCAGATAGAGAAAGATATGTCCATTTCAGATGTGAATTCTATTATTGCACAAAGGATTAATTCTGCCAATATTCTGAAAAAGGTAACAACAACAAAATAGTACAATCAATATGTTTGTATTTACTTTTGTAAAAACTGGTCTGCCGGATGTATGGTACTATACTCTTCCCAGAGAGTCAGATGGTCAAATCTACTTATTCATCACCTCTTTCTCATCATTGAGAGATTTTCTCTTCTGTTCACTTCCTTTTCAGAGTTAGGTACTTACCATCTGTAAATGTACACTGTTGATCTACATTATTGATGCAGAGGTTACTTCAAAGGACAGCAAACTCATTATTAATGCACATCCCAACTTTTTCTGTTTAAACATGAACATTAAAGACTTCCCATCTCTCTTTCTTTTATTAAATGTATTGGGGTGACAATGGTTAATAAAATTAAATAGGTTTCAGGTGTATATTTCTATAATACATCATTATACCTCACATTGTGTGTTCACACATTGTGTGTCAGTTCTCCTTCCATCACCATAGAATTAATCTCCTTTTCCCTCTTCTACTATCCCCCCCACCCCCGTAACCACATATGAGTGAAATCATATGGTTCTTGACTTTTTCTGGCTTATTTTGCTTAGCATAATAATCTCAACATCCATCCATGTTGTTGGAAATAGCAGTGTTTTTGACCCTAAAAATTCACTTTGAGAAATATGCCAGTATTTTGCCAGAATCCTTACTTTTACTAGTAACTCATAATGTTGTAAACCACAGCACTTCAGGGGACGAAGGGATGAAGGAGCTTAAAGTCAGGATAGGATTGACTAAAAGGAAACACAGAAATGTGATCACATTTCTTTGAGCTTGGTGGTCAAGGTTCATGTCCATTACAAGTGGCTGTTACAGAAACGCATTCACAGGGTAATCATCTCCTTTGGGAAAGACTGGTTCTGTCCAGGTGTGCTATGAGTTAGGTGGGAAAAGAGATAAGAACAGAGTTTAAGATGACATGAAAGAGACGTGAAAGGCAAAAGAAGTAGAAAGAAATAACTTGCTTTGGTGTTATTAATGTTAACATTAGGAATGATTTTGATAATGGAAACAGACAAAACCATAATTTCACTTATCCAATCCCCCTTTCCATTCATTGCTTGCAAAAATTAGTGGTAAAAAATAATGGTACCAGTAGCATTGTAAACACTTGATTTTAAAATATAGACTCTGCATTTTTTTTAATTCTAAAATTTTTTTGTAGAGGAGAAGGTTGATCATGAAAAGAATTGTCAAAATTAGCAAATTTAACTTATCAGATATCGTGGCTGATTATGAAGAACTTGTCTCTGCAAGGTACCTACTAAAATTATTATTAAGCATGAAATATAGAGCTTTAAGCTAATGCCTTCAAAGTCCACTAATAAGTTCTTTATTTTTATATTAATTAAGTTACATGTCAAAAGATGAAGTTACACAGCATGAAGTGAAATACAGTGACTTAACATATATTTGGTCATTTTAATATTGCATTTGACATATCTATCTATGTGTTTTTCTTTGTATGGTATTTTAATTTATAACCCTCTCCTTACTGATCATTTTTAGGGCAAGAAAAAAATACTTTTCTGCCAAACTAGTTTTGTCCTAAGATTTTCCTGTCCTGAGACTGCTGGTGGAAAAGTCATGGTGGTAGCACCACACACTAAGCTTGTCATCTACCCCTTTCAAAACTGAATCCTCAGCCCTACAAGGGCACTGTGAGCCACAGGGAGCAGCTGGGGGAGCCTGTGGCTGGAGTAACTCAATTCTCATACTGTCCCGTCTGTGAAACGTAGGGGTAGGACCAGGAGCAGGGATGCCATGTTTCTGGGAAACCTCCCTGGGTTCCTACTATTACCAATAAGGTTATTTTTTTTTCAGTTTTCTGATTGTGATATTATACTTTATTTTATTTATTATTATTAATCATTATTAGTTTTAGGTGTACAAAACAAGGCAATAGTTATACTTTTCACCCCTCACAAAGTGACCAAGCCCCTCCCTCAATCAACTGCCCCCTCCCCCAATATCATATATATCTATCATAATTCCATCGACTCCACTCCCCGCACTGTACTCCACATCCCGTGACCACGTATATATCAAATCTTAGTTGACACACAGTATTATGCAAAGGCAGCTTCATATGTACAGCACAATGGTCAGGCCTCTACACCATCCATGCAGTGGTCTCCCTAACTAGACATGAGTCCATCTGACCCCCTAAAAAATATTTACAACATTATTGATTATACTCCCCAGATAGTTTGGGGAGTATAACCAATAAGGTTTTAATTGGTTTAGGATGCTAAAATCTATTGTGTTTTATTTTTGGTCTTTGGGCAAAATGGGTGTGACCAGACAGCTATAATTTCATGGATTTATGTTACCAAGGTTGGCAGCATATGTAACTAACTCCTATTTCAGATCCATGTAGAAAAGTTGAATTTCTAACCACTTTTAAGAGTATGATTCCTGAAGAAAACAAAATTCCGAGAGAACATCATGTTTCGTGGAATTACCTCTCCATGTCCTTCTCTCTTCTCAAGCCATATACCCAATGAGCATGGAACTCTCATGTTCCCTCTTAACATGAGAGTGAACATAGAATCTCTTATACTCAGAAAGTGATTCCTTCCTTCGGTCTAAAGACAACTCTGTCTCCTCTCCACATGGAGAGAATACGGCTCAAAATAACAGCCTTATTCATAATAATCAATTTTAAAAATTGATATCTTTTAAAACTAAGTTATCTTGTGTATAAGCAGCTGATCACTTTTACTTTTTAGCCAGCTGACACATGCAGTTTGTAAGTTTGTTGAACGACGACGGAAGTTAAAGCCTCAGAGAAAAGAAAGGAAAAAAGTGGTAGCACAGACTGTTAGTCACGGAGATGTTAAAATTCTTGTCCGAATACTGAGGGCTTATAATATCCCTAGCAGGAAAACATCAGTTAATAGGTAAGGCAATATGCACCAATTTTTAGAGTTGCAAAAGATCTACCTTAAATGTAAATTTCCATACTGTTCAATTTGTAAAACTTTGCACTTTCTGAATGCCCCATATACAGAAGCTAAATAAAAGTTGAAATCTTCATGTGGATAGCCAAACTTCCTGTCATTGCCATGGATTAAGAATTTTCAGAAGTTTGAGATGCCCAAAGTGACTTTAACATGTCTATATCAAATAATGGGTGCTATATCAAATAAATGCCTTTTGTCCCTATTCCCTGTTGTGGAAACTTGGGAAGCCTCTATTGCCTACTGCACTCTGCCCCTGGCCCCTCGCAGTATTGGAAGTAGAACTCTGGAGAGAGCAGGCTGTTTTGGACTTGTCATTTTAGATGACTTCTACCAAAATCAGATCCTACCCATCTCTTCTGCATGCACTTCAGGGTTTTATTTGTGTTTTTTTGGCAGAGGATATGGGTATCACCATTGGGTGGCCAAATTAAGGCATCATGAATATTAAATACTCTTGTATATTCCTGAATATTGAGTATCTCTTACCTATTTAATCTCATGTATGGTTCATATGTTATGGATATTTAGTACCCAGGTACCTCAGGAATATTAAGTATCCCTCACTAAGTTTAACATGTATGTGCTCTACTTGCTTGTGTTTGCTACATCCTGTGAAGTCTGCATGTGAAAAACAAATATTTTGTTTACTAGCTATTAATCTATAGTAAAAACTTCTTAAAAGTTTTGCCTGTTTTTGTAAACTACAACCTTATTTATTTAACAGAATTGATATTCTCAAAACAAATGCACATTTCAGAGGCTGTTTTGTGAAATAACACCATTAAAATCACCATTTTCTATAACCATCAATTTATAAAAGAAAGTATTGCAACACCAGAAATAGGAAGCATGTAATCTTAAAGTATCATTTTCCTCCTTTTGCTGAGGACCAGTGGATACTTTGTCATAGAATGGATCCAATCTATATTTCAGCATTTAGGAGCCGCTCTTCCAGAGCAGGGATCATCAGATGTTAAGCTCTAACCACCTATGACATCAAGATCCAAAACAAATGCTATAGAATCCAGAGTAACTGAATTATATATGTCCATAAGCATAGGCAAAAATCTGCCACTTCCACCAAAACTAATATTAAAATGAATTAAAGTGTGTATCTCTCTGTTGTTTTTCCTGAAGAGCCTTGGATATGTCTCCTCATTTGGTATCATCCATATCTCGCCTCAGACATGAAGAATCAATCAAATTGGGAGACTCAGACGAGATCTTAAATGAGGTAAGTATTTAGCACTTCTATAAAGTGCGGTTTTGATTCTGTTTGCCCTGAATTGCAACTGGAGCCTAATTGGTCTCTCTATCTCTAATTTCTTGGGCTTCAAATTTACTTTCCATAACACAGTGAAGGTGCTCTTTTTATAAACTGTAGTTCTAACCATTTCATTACCTGCTCTCCTGCTCTCAGGGTCCATAGAATAAGTTACAAGCCCCACAGAATGCCTACAAATATCTGTAATGATCTGGCTCTTACCTACCGGTCAGCCACGTCTCTTTCCACCGAACAGCAGTATCATATCATACTACTACTTGTTCTGGAAGGCTTAGGTTCATGCCCTTTCCTTTGCCTGGAATGGCTTCCACACAGCTTCATATTATTGGCCACATGAACTGCTATTTCTAAGCTCAAGCTCAGGCAGTGTTTTCTCTGTGAAGCTCTGCTCGTCCTCACCCCAGAAAGTTAATCATTTCCTCTCCTGAGTAATGATTATATCTTGGTTATTTTTTTATTTTATTTCTCGTATTTTATATTTGTTTACCTATTTGTTTTCCCCTAATAGACTATAAACTTCTTAAGAGAAAGTTCCATTTATCTTTGGATCCTAGTAAAGTGTTTGATTCGAATAGGACCAATAAGTGTTTATTAAATGAATGAATGCATAATGGTTGTTGGAAAAGCTGGAAAAAGTAAGGCATCCAGTTGTCAGCCTAATTTCCTAGCTTCTGCCTTTTATCAGCTATGTAAAATATTACAAAAATCTAGTCAATGTTTATTACGTGTTTCAGGCTACTGTACACCCTTTTGTGGAAGTTTCCTTTCAACACACTGTGTACCAGACCAGTACTGCAAGTGGATCTCATCCATGCTGGAATGAGGAAATTAAAGTAGATTTGAGGTAAGTTAGAGTCCATTTTTCCTCAGCTCCTAAAAAAAGAGCACTAACAAGCCAACACCATTTGTTGAGGAAATTATCCTTTCCACGTTGTGTATTCCTGGCACCCTTGTCAAAGATTGGTTGACCTGATGTAGACACAGGGATTTATATCTGGTCTTTCTGTACTATACCATTGGCCTTTATCTGTCTTATGCCAGTACTATACTGTTTTGATTACTATAGCTTTGTAATATAGTTTGAAATCAGGAAGTGTGATATGTCCAGTTTTGTTCTTCTTTCTCAAGATTCATATTTGATGCTATAGATAGCTATATAAATAAGCTTTTGTTATTAAAAATGAAGTGCACTAAGACAGATTTGAAACTTAGAACTTAAAATTGTTCTCTAAACTCAATTTGCAATTTTCAGTTCTCACTTCCTATTGTTTACATCGTTAGCGATCGCTGAAGTGAAACCTATATAAGGGGTCATCCCTTACCACATCAGCCACGTCCATTACCAAAGTCCTTTCTCTTTTCCTGATGCCCTTTCCTCTTTGTCCTCCCAATCTTGTTTAGCATCCTCAATTTTCTACAGATCGTGTGGTTCCTGACTATTTGCATGCTTCTTTGATGGCATCACTCTGACTTTTTAACTCCTGATTTTCTCCTGGTTCCTGAACGCCAACGTCTGGGACCTTGGGCTTCTTGTGTTGCTTTTCCCTGCAGCATCTGTGTTCTTGACCTTGGCTCTTTGTGAGTAGGTCCTGATTCTTAGGATGAAACAATCTGTCTATTCCTTTCAACTTCCAGTCACTCTGTTTCCTGCACGATTATATAAATGAGGTCCTGGCTATAAGCTCTAATCGGGAAATTCTGTACTCATTCAGTCACTTTTCAAACAAACGAACAGCCTTGAGGTGCCACATGCAAGCTGTGGGAGCACAGAATCACCAACTACCAGCATCTTCTCCAGTCTTCCCTTGCCAAAGAGCTTTGACAGAATTCCCTTACTCCAAAACCTATCCCACTGAATGCAATTGTCTGTACCATATGAATATTCATAGCCACCACTCCGCACAGTGGAAACCTCCAGACCCTAACCAGTATTTGCAAGGAGAAAAAGACTCTGGTTTTTGCCATTGTTTCAGCATGGGAGTAAAAAACCAAACAGAGCAGTATACTTTCGAATTTTACTAGCTTAGATGCTATGGATACTTTAGCTACTAGCAGAAATCAAGTCTCTTCTTCCAGATTCAACACAGGCTCAATGGTATTTTCAGTCTTTTGCCAGAGTTCTTAAAGTGGTACCCTTGTTATGTGGCTGCCTGTCTGGACCTTGTACTTCTTGTTTTGCCTTGTTCTCTGATATTTGCTTACCCGACCTTTTTTTACTCTTTGTGTGTGAACAGGAGTATTGATTGAAAGGAAGTCAATTATATTGTACAATATTAAGTGATCACTATAGTAAAATGTATTAAGCTAAAGGTTTATAAAGGTATAAAATGTGGTTATGTGTGTGCAAATATTTGGTATATTAATTTAGACATTAGAGTTATTAGAAATATACTGTATTAAATAAATAGATTTAAGAGTACATAAAATAGCCAATAAGATAAATAAACTTATAAGTGAACTAAAGAAAGGAGGCTGTAGAGTATTTGCATTCTTGAAATCATAGCAGTGAGATAAGCCAAGAACACATTTAGAGTACAACCAAGTGGATCAGAGGGTTCAGCTAAGGCAAAACCATTCAGCCACGGCTTTTTGTCGCCTCCGATAAAGGGCTCTATTCCCTTTCCCACATGACATTTTGGTAAATAAAAGGCACATGCAAATGAGATAGATGGTTTGAGGAGAATACAAAATGCAAGACAATATAAGACTTGAGTGATTTAAAGTATATACTAAGTTGATGCTCAAAAATGTCTTGCGAATGAGTTATCATCTCTCCTGCTAGCACAGTGTTGTAAATATACATTCCTCCACTATCCTGTCTTAGGCATTGCAACATGAAAGGGAACTCTCGAGGGAGCAGGGTAGTGAAGTCAACTTATCACTTAAGCTTCAGCTTAAAATTATTCTTTAAACTCAACTAACGTTTTTCGGTTGTCACTGTCTGTCTCAGAAAGTTATACAAACTGTTGGAGACCCTTTGAAATAGTAGTTGCTTTCTTAAGCAGCAAGCTTCAACAAATAATGTTATTGGCGGTTGGTTGGTATAGGGAAAAGAGCCTGGCCTTTAGAAGCAGTCAAAATTGGATTCAGTGGGGCTCTGTCACTTGCTGGTGGCATTAGCTGAGCAAGTTATTTAACTTCTTCAAGCTATTAGAAGTTTCATTGAGATTCAATGCACAAACTGGAGCTGAGCGTGGAAGTTCAGTGCTTGTGATAGAGTATACTATCCTTTTTGCTACCTCCAAAATGCATCCAATCAAGTAAGCCATCAGCAGACAGCTTGCACTGTCTGTGAAATGCACTCCACTATCTTAGTTTCTGGTTCAGAGAAAATAAATGTGGGAAACAGAATAAGCTCTGTGGTTAAATAGTCATATCTTTTAGCTGCAAGCAAAAGAGCAATTTAACTAGGTGTGTGACCTAGCAGAAACCAGCAGAATTTAAGATAGTTGGAAAATCTTAATGTACCATACTCTAGATAATTTGTTTGCAAGGAGTGGCTGTAGTAGAAAGTCTTTCTGCTTGACATTTAAACATTTTTATTTTTCGTGCCAGCTATCTTATGAGATAAATAAAATAAATTACAAAGCATATGCTGGCTTTAATGGAAGATAACAGGCATCTTCAAAGCACATAGTTTTTTCTTAGCTTACACTTTATAAAAGAACATAGGTAATTTTATAGTCCTGTATGAATAATGTTCTCATAAAATAAATTAAGCATTTAAATATGTTTTTCTTATTTACAGTTCACCAGGACACGATTATAGCTTCTCAAGCTTATCTAAAATAAAAGATAATATATATATCAACATTTTTGATGAAAATATTATTGAAAAACATGAGGTAAAGTACAATAGTTATAATAATGTGGAAATAATTCTAAGTTCAGACTGAATTCAGTCTAGTAACATATTTGTAAATTTGCTTTTAGATGCATTGTCTATTTGTAACATTTTCTGAGAAGGATTCGGGGCAACTTGAAATAAAATCAGGCATGACAAGTCAGTTAAAAAATAACAGATCATAAATCACATATAGGAGGAAAAGCAGTAAATATACCAGGAATTTGGGAGAAGTGGGTTTCTACAATTGAACATTACATTAAAATGTGAGCTTCCTGGTAGCCAAGATAAAAAGATAAACAAAAATGGGTTATATGTTTCTCACTGTCTGATCAAAGAAAATATGTCACCTCTGTAAAAGAGGCCAAATTATTCCTGGAACTAAAAGCCAGTTTTGTTCAATCAAATTTTTTAAATTATTGAATATCTTTCTCATAGATATATGAAAACTCCTAACACAATGCTTAGTGCCATAGCAAGCTCTAACATAAATGTTAGATCCTTCCTATTGAAGTTGGCACTAAAAGTGTAAAGATGCATATCCTCCTTTGGGGCTCTGATTAAATGCTCTAATATAGATGTCTATCAAATTCTATGGCAATACTATTGAGGTAGCAATTAATTCTATCTGGAGGGATTCAGGATTGGATTTAGTGAAGTTGAACTAGACCTTGAAGCATGGTTCAGCAATGAGCTTTCTATAAGAACTACTGAGAAACATAATGACAATGTTTTCCAACCTGGTTTTCCAGGAGATACAGACATACATTCTTTTTAAAAACATTTTCTATCAACTCTTGATAAAAGCTGAGGGTAAAATATTAAACAATAATTTGGTGATGGCTATTCTCCAAGGAGTTAAACTGATTATAGTTTTCTGATTATCTAAACTGATAAATGATAGAATTTAGAAAATCCCAAAGAATACCTAACTATCTCTCTCAAAAGTGAATTATCTCAATGATCAGTTTGACCAGAAGTGAATAGAAGTTAACAGTTAAATTATTGCAAGTGTTTTGTGTTGTTATTGAATGAATTCCATATGCTTTAGGTGTCAAACTTATGTGACACTGCTATTTAGAAAAGGCAAGGGACTGGCTTATATTCTTGCCTCCTCTCATGGACTGGGTTGCAAGTTAATTATGGGCCAAAGCATTCCATTTTCTCATAAAAGACCAGGGCTAGGCTGAGCTCCAAGATGACCACCCAGTTTGGAAAATGTTTTGGCCTATCATTGATCACTATTCTTTAGAAAGCAGTTTTTTCCTATGCCTCAATTTTCCTCTCTTTTCTCTTTGTACTTTTTTTTTTTTTTGGCTGTCAACTATTTCTTACTGTGGATCTCCCCTTCATTAGTTGCTTGCTAGCAGAAAGCTGAGGACTTGAAAGTGTCACAGACATATTGCCTATTTTTGGCACTGAGGATGACAGGACTGAGCTGAACTGCATTTGAGCTGGCAAAGTTCCAGATTTGGAGCCTACATTTGCTGAAACTAACAAAAACCCTGGTGGTAACAAAACAGAACTTAAACTAACCTAATAACTTCGTTGTTAGTTTAAATAATTTTTTAATAAAAGAAAAATTAGTTATTTTTCAAGGTTTTAAAATTCATTAGCATACAATTTTCAGCATAGGTTCTTATAATTTTTGACCTGCTGTTACCTATTCTCTTCTCATTTCTAACTTTATCCAGGTGTGCCTTTCCATTTTTTCCTGAATTAATTTGGAAGATATTTGCCTATTTTTTAAAGAACGAACTTTAGAAATTGTCCTTAAAATTTATTCATTTTGTGTTTTCTAACTCATTTTTTTCTACTTTTATTTTTATAATGTTTTCCTCTGATTTCCTTAGGACTGTGATATTTGCATTTATCGATATTTTGGCCAAGTGTGTTGAAGGTCTAGTTTGTTCAATCTCTCTCTCTCTTTCTCTCATAAATAATGGAAACAGTTTAAGACTATAACTTTATCTCTAAAAACATCTTGGACTTAATATTCG